ATCTTCTTCTTTTTCCAAAATGTTCCGCGGTAGCTCCAACAGCGCCCTCTATTGCCGCACCTCCTCAAATTGTTTTTACCATAGAGCACCAAGAAATGGGAAATTGCACCAAGGCAAATGATCAAGGGCACCAATGTACATGAAGACACCAAAAAAAGCAAAATAGTACCCCACCTTGTCTGTACAATCCAAGCTTGGAAAAAAAAACACCGCGTCGCCGCCTCAATTCCGGAACTTTGGTCTGACCAGAGACCGAGAAATTTTTTTGTTTGCCTAATATGAAACAGGTTGGGTGGGGGGGGGGGGGGGGGGGCCAACAACTACTTTCCAATAGGCTATCCAGCCTGATATCAAAAAATGGGGGAGGGGCGCTGTTCAAAGCAGATAATCTTGAACACAATCGGACAATGGGTGGTGCTACTCGTAAGGCATTGATGTATGCTACTCATAAGGCATTGATGTATGCGGTCATGCAGTCCCATGATTTTACCAACAGGGCAACGGTTTGGCCGGCATGCCGATTGAGAGAAATTATTGAATGGGGTGTCACTTAACATGTTTGTACATTGACTCTATGTTTGCACAGTGTTCAGTATGTTGATATTTAGTCTGCGGCACATGGAATGTCCGGCACTACATATTGTTCTGCCTGCAGGATATGGTCAGAGATGACCACCACAATTCTATGGCCAAGTACACCGGTACATGGTTCATTACTTCAAATTTCACAAATCACTGCCTCTGACATGCATCAGTCAAATCCAGTCATACATGTAGTGTGCAGTGACGTGGTCCATTAAGCCTTTTGCACGAGGGATAAATGGTGCAGCAAGCAACGTATGCCTTTACCTCCCCCTCCCTCCCCACCCCCACCCCACATCATAACAGACAATTGTTTTTTGTTACAGTATGCATACCATGGCATTATTTTTTAACAAAGATGTCTGGTTTACACGGTTCGCCGCTTTGCTGAAATAGGATAACCTATCAATACATGTACCGGTAAGTGAGAGAGAGCCCTTTTGCCCCCGGCACCCCCCCCCCCCCAGTAACCTCTCTGGGTCCGCCCTTAAAGTTGCCTAGTTAGGCCTATGCAAAGGGACCATCTTTGTTGCTTTTGATGGCCAGTTCAGTGACCATTTTATTGAGGTGAGGAGCACTATTATTGTTTTAAATGCCAGTTTTCCATCTTGAGAGGGGCACAGTTTAAATGTTGCGAGCGGGGCACAAATTGTGCTTTCGAGGGCCAGTTTTCCATCTTGATAAGTTATCGCGAGAGGAGCACTATTGTTTTTGATGGCCAATTTTTCATCTCGAGAGGGGCACAATAGTATTGCGAGAGGGGTACCGGTATTTCAGCTTTTGTGGAGAGTTTACCATCTTGAGAATGTTCACAATCTTGTTAATGCGAGAGGGGTATAATTTGTGTTTTTGAAGGGCACGTTTGCATTACAAGAGAGGAGAGAATTTTTAAGCGTGATCATAATGCTTTCATGACTGTCGAAGAGGCACTTAATGACCGTGAGCAGGCAATTTTGTTGGCCTGGGAAAATCTGGGGGCAAGGTCCCCCCCCCCCCTTCCGCTGCCCCTGGTCATGGTACCGTACATTGCCTGAGGCGTGCAATGTAAAAAAAAAAAATAAGGGTGATGTTTTTTGTCAGGTCACTTTGCACCTTTAATTCCCGACCACTCTGTCATCGGTAATCCTGCAATGACCACTGCATACCTAGCATTGCTGTACGTAGTACCAACTGATATTGAAACTTGGCGTCTAGTGTGTACATGTACATGTACTGTACATGTATACATGTACGTGCATGTGCATGTGCACTGTAGGACTCTACACTGCCTGCATGTGTGTACTGGTACGTGTAACACTCCATGAGCACAGTTCGCTTGGTGCAGTAAAGCCAAGTTTCCCATATTAGGAGCTGTCCCTGAATCGATTTTGCTCTGCAAAATGAAGGGATCCCTCCATTAGCTATTGCCGCCAGGTCATGACCCCAACCCCCTTCTTTATATCAAATGTGTCACCAGAGGTCAACTGGGGTCAGGTGAAGGTCAAGCAGTTAGACAGGTTTAAGTGTAGATTAGCCATGAAGACCTGGTAATATTGGCTTGTAATTTGACTGGCTGTAAGTGATAGCTTGGGTGTCTGATCTTGAGATGGCCTCGGGGCCTTTTCTTTTAATGTCAGCCAGGGGCCTGGCCAAAGTCAATAAATAAATGTCTCTTCATCAACTACCAGAGGATAGTCACAGTAGTACGTGCTGGGTGATCCTGTTGGAAGTCCTGAAAAATGACAGAATATGCCCTACAACATTGACACAACAAACAGGGATGTTAGAGGGCCTGCATGGTGCTGTAAATCATGCCCACCCACATTGCATGTTTGCTGACACTTATGTTCCTAATAAATGGCTTGAAAAAAAAGGACTAATGGCATTAGACAAGTTGGAGAACTTTTAAATACAAATACATGTACCGGTATGTAGAGTTACCGGTAGTCATGATTATAAAAAAAAAATTGGAGTTAAATGTTTATTTTCATTAATTTTTATGACAATTCCAAAACCTGTCCAGTACCTGGGTTTTTAAAAATAGTTTGTCTACCGGTAGGAGAAGGAAATCTTGCCCCGTTCCACCAATTTCTTTTTCCAGTTGCGTCCTATAGAATACATGTACCGGTACTCTTCTTTACAACAACTCATACCAAAGTGAAATTGTCCATTGATATTGATAATGGGGAGTTGCACTTTTCGTTAAGAAAAGTTGGATATATTTTCTTCAGTGCACGGGGAACTCAAAAGGTACATGTCTGCAAGATCTTAGAACCATCCATGATTCCACTGACAGTTTGCGTCAAGTCTAACCAGTACCCAGACATGCAGCCGCCTGCTCCTTGGTAGGCACACACATGTAAATGATATTGATTAAACCTTAACTCTTTCATTGTGGCACCGAGGAGAATGGCAGAGGTCAATCAGGGTCAACCAGCGAGCATTGTACAATCATGAGTCAAGTGCCTTAAAGAGATCTGGCCTCCGCTTCAGATTTTTCGTGGAACTAGAATTTGAAGGAAAAAAACCTTCACCAATTCACCAGTTGCTTGATAAATTGATATTCTTTGCACCTATTTTTTGTCAGTTTTTGTTGTTGAATACATTCGGTACAACATTACCATCTGACTGAGTGAGTCACTGAATAACTGATTGTCTGAGTCGCTGGGTTTAAATTATTTCCTTAACTGAGACTTTTGGGTCAAGCTTGAGTAGGCAAGCCAAGTCTTGTTGAGTACTTTTTGCCATGAGTTTTTGAGTATTTTACCATGCCATGCCATGCCATGATGAATAAGACTACATTGAGCATGCAAAACTTCATGATAATACCAACTGCATCACTACAAAATCTGAAGATAGTTGGCTACAAACTGAGTTTGCACTCAACCAACTTTAATACTCATGAAGATGTATTGATTAACTTTTCCTGGGATAACCTTTCCTTGACCAGGTACATGTACATGTAATTACGGTTGTAAATGCCAGGTCAGTCGGTCTTAGCTGAGACTACATGTACATGAAATTAACATTGCAAGTATAGTTGAGCATCTGGTTGTGTTGTCTTGAATGTTCGTATACATGTAGGTACCGTTCACCATGTTAGGTACATCTGTAATGTAGAGAACGTGTGCGTGTGGGGGGGGGGGGGGGGGGCAAAAGAGAAAATGTGGGCCGGGGCAAAATGAATGCAACAGTTGATTTTTCAATACACATTTCTCCTGACTGCATGTGTCAAACGTCAAACTGTTCATATGCTTAATTCAAGCGTGATTCTTGAACTTTGAGACTGAAGGATGGTGTTAGACTTTTATTGCACCATAACTAAACTTCATACATGTACCGGTATGGGCCCATAGCGACAGTAACACATGAATATAATTATTTCTAAACTGATTGAAAGCCATTTTTTTAACCAAAGGAACTTGTCAAGTCGTATTAATGCCAGAAGAATTAACGTCAGTAAGAGTTAACGTCAGTCTATTTGACCATCTGGCCATTGACCTTAGAACTGCAACTTTATTACACAAACACACAACAAATCAATGTCCACTAGCCTTCATAATATAATAATAGATGTTTATCAAACATCAGCATTCAAATCCTTCCTGGAATTTGAAATTCATTTGAAGTGCCCTCTGGGCTCTTCTTTATTTGTGTAAAAAAAAATAATTGGTCTGGCTGCTTACTGTGATAACTTATCATTGGCTTTCAAGGATGTGTGTTTTTTTCTGCGGACCTGAGCGGTCATTTGCAAACTGGAGCTGACAGGCTGCCCTTTGGCTGTCTGGTGGTTTCACCAACCCAACTCTTAGGACTTCCCTACATTTTTGCAATGGAAAGCCTTGCAACGGCTTTCTGAAGCATGTACTTTTTCCTTCATATGAAGTGTTTATTTCCAACACGCAATGTATACATTTGAAAAAAGTGAAAAATTGTACAGTGTTGAAAACTTATAGAATATATACACAGTATACCACATTTCTAAATACATTTTTTCACCAATATTATATTCATTAACCCTAACTCCCTAGGCATTTTTGCTAGGATGTAGCCTCAATCCTGCAAATTCCTCCATTTTTTCTTGAATATGGTCCATGGAGGGGTGACCACTGCCTGAATCCTGCAAAATCCTGCGGCAGTGACTGTCAATTCCGTATGTTGAGGCTTGGCCAGTGACATTCTGGAGCAGTACGAAGGATTTCAAGCATAATCCAGACCTATATTTATGCATGGCTGAGCAAAAACAACACAAGGTCCGGCCCCAAGGCCTTGACAAAGTGGATTCTACGAAATCAGTAACGCACTTTTGCCATGTAACCTCAATCCTCCAAATTCCTCCACTTTGGCAAAGAGGATTTTGAATGATTCAGGGCGGTTAGGGTTAACACTGTACCTCTTGCAAGAATTCACCATTCTCTTTTTGAACTTTATGTTTGCAGACCCCCACTCACAGGCGGCAAGCCACGCCCATCAGGGATGATGAATCAGCCAATGGCGGTAGTAGCGAAGTCTCCAGGATACGCTCACGAAGGTTGGCTTCAAGTCATGTCCTGGGCCGTGTCCCAATTATTGGCTACGGCTCACAGCTACACACAATATGGGAAGTGGAGTTAGCCACTTCCATAGGAACATGTGTAATATCAAGCCGTAGCCAAGTAATTAGGACACAGCCTTAAAATTAGCACTCACACAAATGCAGTTTGTAAACAGAATCATAATACATGCCAAACATTTCTTCATTATAATATTCATTTCAAACAGTTTTTGAATTTGCATGATTTTCACTTTAAAACTAAACATGTACCGGTATGATAAAAATACATACTTATGTGTAAAATAAAAACAACAAACCCCAATTCCCATTGATTTTCGTCCTATTTCTGCTTTATTTTCAATGAAAATATCCAGCTTTATATTCATCCAAAATATCCTTGAATTCACAACATTTGACGTTAAACTAATTTTTACAAGATCACTAATCCCCCTTTCCAAGTTATTCGGCTCCTTTGTAAGCAACAAAGCAGGGGTGTGAAATCTCAGCTTTAAAGCTGATTTCAGCTTTTTTTTTATTGGATTTCAGCTTGTTTCCCTCACTGGCTGTGTACAAAAGTATAGGATATTTCCAACGTTCAGCTTTTCTACACCTTTTTCAGCTGTTTTTCAGCTATTTTTATCAGTGGTTGCTCACACCCCTGACAAAGTGCCCTGTACGGTTTCTGCACAGACCTCGTAGTTCTATTAGCTGATGATATAATCTACAGCAGGCAAAATAAAGCTCTTAAGTTATTTTCAGAATGTTCAAGTGTTATGGCTTTAAAAGTGAACGCCCATCAGTGTGCGGCACTAAACATTTCATTTTGTCAGCTTTTTTCCCTGTGTCAATCAAATGTGTGCCTCTTTAAAAATGTATGTACATGTACGGTACATGTACTGTTGTTGTACAATGTACATCCGGGCTTGAGTAGTTCTACTTGAGGCCCTATACAGTCCGTACAGATAAAATAGTTTTATGTCATAAATCAAAAACTGACATGTACTTGTGTAATCAAAGGTTTTATCATTTGGCACAGTAAAAGAGGGAAGGGAAATGGAGGTATCGGTAGGGGTTCATTTGTCTAGATTAGATGATCTTTTAAATCTCAGTCCAACCTAATCAAATAAGCTTTTAGCAGTTAAACCCATTAGGATTACACTGTACTATACTGTTTAATTTTTGATGAAGCCATTAAAGCATAGAGGGCTGGGGCAGTTTGGGGCAGTATAAGGAGTATAAGAAAGGGCGCTTTCAGGCAGTACAGAGGCTAATGGTTTAAAGGTATTGTAACTTTCTGTTTATCAACATGAAATAGACCATTATCATGTAGCGGCCATCTTGAATTTTTCCCATTCAAATCAATGTAATCAAAGCGAGGCTGGAAGGAAAAATAGTCTGGTGCCTTTTTGCACAAAAAACATTATCATTTAGTACTATTATTGGATTCAGGGAACATGACTGAAATGGTGGCAGCATAATAAGGGTCTACAGAAAGGGAAATTGTGCAATAATGTAGACTGTACATATACCGGTACAGTTGTATATGTACCGTAACTTAGTTTATGTATTATATGTGGAGCCACTTTTTGAGAGTGTTGATAATTTATCGTGCAAATTTTCAAACACTTGTGTATTGTATTGTATACATGTACATTTCACATTCACTAAAGGCCACATCTACATGTTAGTCTACCACTGACCCTCAAACTGTGACATTTTCAGGCATTCCAAAGGTAATAATACTAAAAAAACTAAAACTTTTTTTTTAATTTTGAGAAGACAAATATCAGCAAACATTCAAGTCCTTCTGTATGATTGTCAGTTCTTGATAATCTCGCTGTTTCAATATTTGCTTAGGATGTAGACATTGAATTGGACTCTGCTGTTTACATAAACCCAGCCAGTGGTTCATACACTGTGGACTGTCGCTGTCTTTGTATTGGAACAGCTACATTGTACAATGCAGCCCGATTTCAACAGGTTTATTTCTCTACATACTGGTACTGTAGCTGTCAAAATGACAATCAGAATTTTTTTTGAAGTCAACTGTCACCAAAACTTTATTTCTCAAATTCTTATGTTTTTTTTCATGCAAATATTTTTTGAATGCCCAAAATATGCATACATATATATTAAAACTTTGATTAACTAGTTTCTCCTCAAACTGATGTGAATAATTGAAGTGATACTGACATTACATGCAACACTTAATAGTAGAAAACACTTTTTCATAGTCTGCCTTTGTGTTTGCAGACTTGACAAAGATTTTCTTAAAACAAGTTGACTTTGAGTCTTGAAATTGCAAAGGCTGGAATCGAGCAATTTTCCTCAGTGTATTTTAGCAGTCACCAAATCTCTTTATTCATGTACGTACAGGAGGTGCATGTACATGGATTTCCAATCCAAATGTTACCCTCGCATCATGACATAATTAGAAGTGATCCCCACCATAGGGTTTCAAAGCCTCTGACTAGAACCCCTTGAAAGAGTTGGCCTACTGTAGGGCCAGAGAGCTCGGCAGGTAAAGCTTAAGTACATTTCCCAAGGTTGAAGGTTTGACTCCTGCTTAATGTTGGTAAACCTAAAATTGATCCACAGTGCACAAATTAAATTCACTTGTCTTGAAGTGGTGGGGGGGGGGGGAAAGGGGGTGGGGGGAGGAGGGGAAAAGAAGTGAAGGATAACCATGCATCTCTGCACATGGCCGCTTGCATGTGGTGTGCAAAATATGGTAAAATATGGTAAAGCACCCCATGATATTGATATTATATGATTAGACCAAGCAGCTTTGGGAAGCAAAGCAGTCTTATTTATCGGCATCTTCTTTTGTTTCACTCAGGAGACATGCCAGGGAGAGAGAGGAAGGAAGCAGCACAAACAGCCCCTCATCCCCAAGGTCAATACTACGGAGAGAGGTGGATGGTAGGTCAGCAGAGGAATGGAAGAGGGTAAGATGAAGGAAAGAAAAGGTTGACATGCATCCCCAAAAAGGGCAGCCCCCCCCCCAACACAAAATAAACATGTTATTCTTCTTCAGCTCTCTGCCCCTGCTGCCCCACAGATGAGCTTTTCAAACCGATCTGTTCGAAACCTAGTTGCATACTATTACTTGATTTTGAGTTGATAGTATCAAGCATCCTGCGAAGTTGTTGCGCCTGGTATTCAGTCATGTTCAAGAAAAGAGTTTTGTATCAGTATTAATGATGGTTTGGACTGAACCATCGCTGTTAAAAAAAATATAAAAAATGGAAGAGAGTCAGGGTGAATGAAGTTGTGTAAAGTTTTGTATTTGAGGAGTTATCTTGGATGTTAATATAATAATGATTCATGCAGAGAAAATTCTATTCTATTCCTTGTACAGTCACTCATAAACAGCATCAAAACAAAGTCTTTGTTAGAAAACATACATTCTATTTTTTACATTTTTTTATTCACATTATTTCCGCTTTCAATCATTTGTGTAATTATAGTGAACGATAAATATTTCAAACTATTAAAACAGTAATTCCAGCTCATCAGGACTGCATTTGTGCTCAGAAGTAAAAATATTGAACTAGCAAATGAATGGGTGTGAATATGGATTTGTTTTTTGTAAGAATTAATGAATTTCCAACCTTATGTACAGTACATTGTGTATGTTTGTACATGTATGTATTGCATTTGGACTTTGTTCAGTAGTCTTCCCTCAGTTCACTAACCGTTTTCCGTCATATTGTCTCCCCTTCCCTCTCTTGCATGTATTGCATGGTGTGTGAACCACCCTGCTGTATGCTGTGTGAATAAACAGATGTACGAGCGTGAACATCGGGAGAATCGACGGCTGACCCGGAGACTACATGAGTCTGAAGAGAGAATAGCCCGCTTGGAAGACGAAATCCAAATACTGACAGAAGTACATACTAATGTTGCCTGAGTATTTTTTTTTTACACTTAGTCTTTATTCCAGAGTGATTATTTTGGTGTTATGTTTTTGTGTCCTTGATGAGTTTGAATGTTAGATGCTCGAACTAAAATGTGAGTTTTGTCATCTTCTTTTTGCATTTTTTTTTCCAAAATGTATTATCAGTTTTTTTTGGTTAATACAAGCCTTTGTGCAGCCCCCTGACAACTTTGAATGGCAAATGTTTTTAACAAGTTTATACATTCTGTTGCTACTTGTTTTTTTTCCCTGCAGTTTTGTGTCCCCTGTGAAATGGCTTATATTTCAAGCATCGAAGTTAGGATCTTTCAAATAAGGGGATGTATGGGGAAAAATAGCCTTGAAGTAAGAGATGTAACAAGTTTCATACTTCGGCTTGTGCATGTTTCTGATTCCAACACTTTTACAGATTATCAGTCTCTGCACATAATAGGTAAAGAAAAAATATTTTTGGAGGACCAAGAACGGTGCAGATTTTAATAAGTGCCATTTTCATTCAAAAAAAGCAATTGCCTTGCATAATTTCAATGAATGGGAGGTTTGCTGTAGCACCATGTGAATGATGTCTCTTCGTGAGTTGTGTGTTTCTGAGAAGAACCAGTTGGTTAACTTGACGTTTCGAACAGTATGCTCTGCTTGTCATCACAAGAGGAGCAGAGCATACTGATCGAAACGTCGAGTTGAACCAACTGGTTCTTCTCAGAACCACCCAACTCACTAAGAGATATCATTCACATAGTGTTACCGCAAACCTCCCATTCATTAATCATGTCCACCATGCAAACCCTTAAGTTTTACTTGCATAAGTTGTTAACCAAGAAAAAAAACATCTATAATACAAATTGTTTTCACATGAGCCCAAGTAACTGGTTTTACAGTGAGTGTCGTGAACACACTGACAGATGGGACACACAGTGTTGAATGAGCCGCTTCTATAATTATGTGTGCCCCGTTCTCCGACACCCCTAAAAAGACAAGTTAAACTCCTTGGCGACGGAGCACAAATGACGTTGGCACTATGCGATTATCATTGGCACAGCATTCACAGCTGTTCCAGCATGTTCACCAATGCTGGCAGATTCTCTGCACGCTTCTTTGTAGCGGACAGATTTACAGTGTTCATGTTTATAGCTGAACTCTGAAACTCACAGCATGGTCATGCTCAGGTTATTTTTACCTGTGATCTCACTACATCGAGAATGTTTCTTGCTACCGGCGATGAAAAAAGAAATTGAACTATAATGAAACCTTCATGCCCATTTGCTAAATATAAAATCAGTCATAAATCTAAAAGTTGAAGTACATGTTGTAAACTGCCGAGCATTTCTTTAACAGTGAATGAGAAATGTAGGAATAGATTCCCCGTTCGGTTAATCTTTGGAAAATGCACTGCACGTGCAGAATGTGAACTCAAATTTAGCCCTGTAGGCCCACTTTCAAATACCGGTAGCTGTTAGAAAAGCTCATGACTCAGGTTGGAGTCTTAGATCCAAGACATGCAATATACAAAGGCAAAATACAATGTTAAAAGTACAGCGTGTCTCCAAAAGAAATGTAGCAGTCAAACAACATGTTTTTCTGAGGAAACAATTGGGGGGGGGGGGAATACCATAAGATGATAGAGTGTTTCTTTACCCTTGACAGGGTTTTGTTCTGTGTGATTTGACTTTTTGTCTAAAAGTTATAGCAAAGTTCGTAAAGACTGTCAAAATTTGTTTCAGCCACTTTTCAGATTATCTGGTATCTAATGAAAGGCATTCACACACGTTCTTGGTATGTGAATGCTGTTTCGTTAGATACCAGATAATCTGAAAAGCGGCCCAACTTGGAATTCAAGTCCTTTCATTTAATTAGCTGTATCTCTGAACTGGGGTGTCCAAATGAGATGGGATAAAGACCATTGTGTAGAGTATTTACTACACCTTCAGACTCTAGGATCCGTGCACCAACAAAAAAAGGGCGCTTTTTTACTACTTTTGCGAGCCCCGTTGATAGGACCCACTGCATGTGCATACTTTACTGGTGGCTTGCGCACGAAGTATGTGCTGCATGACTTGCCCTGCATGTGCCAAAGCTAAGCCACAATCTCTTGGTGTGAGCATCGGGCGTCGTAGGCGTGCAAAGCGTACGTTCAAATTTATCTTTGATGGTCTCCTAGATAGACTAATCCCCGCCCCTCATAACTATGGATCATTCGAAGTCTGCGGTACATGAACCGGAAACCAGTCTAGGTCTCTCCCCCAAATCTCCTTTCTGGCCGTTTAAGGGGTACTTGTGCACAGAGCCTATAGATAAGTTTTGCAAAAAGAAAGTGCTAGTATTTTTAATATTAATGGATTGACTGCTACATTTATTGACACATGCTGGACACGTACATACCCAGTGCAAATTCCATCCTAGTGAAATTGGGTTATTCAAAGATTTTGAGGTAGTGGTCAGAAGACAAAAAGAACCTGTCAATTGTGATACACTGAGGTCTAAGCATCTACCTCTATTTCTGCAAAATTCATTTGGTTCAGAAGTTTATTGTCTGAAAGTTGGGAAAAACATCTTTTTTTTCTCAAAAGTTTGTCTGCAACATGTAGCTACAGATATGAGTGTCTTTTCCTTGAATAGTCTTGTGACGGATGCAATATTAGTCCCTTAGAGAGTGATCTAACTTGGAGGTCTTGTCCCCAGACATCTGTTCACTCGTTCCATTGTTTTTCCCTATCGCAGGACCTAGAGGTAGTTGACGAGGAGCTGGACCAGTCCAGGGAAGAGAACCGTGCATTAAACAAGGCAATGTCTCAACTACGAAGTTAATTCTTCATGATCATAACCAGCTTCACCTTTTAGGTTGGTACATGTAATATTTTTAGAAAACGACTTGGACTGCAAGAATTCAATACATGGACATCACTAATTTTTCCCTGCAGTGACTATCTGCTATCAGAAAGCAATAACATGTCCTAAAAAGTCAAATTTAGCAGGGAAAATATTAAAGCATTCACTGAGAAAACACTTGGAATTTTTCAGACCAGTCTCTTAGGGTTTGTGCACAGGGTGTCAAGTGATGTCCAGGTATGGAACTCCCAGCAGAATTGTGGTCAGTCATAAAGGGTCAAGCTTGTAGTCCACCACTCACTGCCGTCATAAATCTGTATTGTTGGAGGGGGGTGGGGGGGGCTGGGTAAATTTAACTAAATGTAAGGATGTACTTTAATCCCATCAAAGTTTAATTGCTACCCACCAATTTTAACTTTTCTAGCACCCAACAAACGCTAGAGCTAAAGTGACAATAGCTGGTTCATTTCAGCTACATAAAATAGTCTGAACAATGCTCAAGATGGTAGAGTGTGTGTAGACTCAAATTTTTGTCGGTGGAACAAAAACAGTGTGACTTGAATGACGTACCCAACTACCTTTCCTTAGTCTTCTATACCTTGTATGCAATGTGGTCAACACAGTTTGACGTCATAATGTCTCTGTGTGACGTCGTTATGTGTCAGGGCTACTGAACATTGTAACATTAATCACTGGAAATGAGGGTACATTGCCTGGTTGACATTCATGCACATCTCACTTAGCAAAATGTCGCGGGGTCTCATCATCTATCAGTTGCACCACAGACTTGAAATGGTTCAAACACGAGTGCAAGAATGTCTTCTTCCTTTTTCCAACGACCATTTGCAAAGAGGTATATTTTCATTACCTGCCTCACCACATGGCTGTTCTGGATCACTTGGGTTCAAGGCCTGTAATAAAAACAAGAATGGAATAAAGTTAACTGCAAGGAACTTTTTAGCCGGTTGACAGTCAAAAGATAATGAGCTCATCAGGAATGTTGATTGCTTGAGAGCATCAACCTCTGGCGTGTGTTGCAAATAAAATGTAAGTGAATTGGCTTTAAAAAAAAACAAAAAAACATCGGCATGCGCATACATGTGTGTAGCAATGGGAATAACTGTCTAGATCAATTTACTGAGCACAGAATGTTTTCTTAGCAAAATCAAAATCATGCTTAGTAAAATAATGTTACTAGCCAAAACGTCATTCATTGTATGTGCTCTGTGCGCTAACAAGAGAGGGCGCTTTTCTACACGTACTGGTTCGCAAGCCAAGTACGCGCTACCAATTCTATTCTGAATGTTAACAAAGCTGTAGCGACTTTGCGTCAGGTGTCGCACGTCATCTTCTTCGAATGTCTCTTTCAGAACCAGTGGTCTGTCCGTACTCTCCCTTCCGTACCGTTGAGGGGGTACTTATGGACGGAACCCATATGGCCATAGAGCGTTGTTATTACTAGGGAGCTAACTCGCTTTATATGCACAATGTAGTCTGCTGGGGGATGTCTTTGCTTGTTTACAAACCTAAATAAAGCTCCAAAAATTTATAAGGCTTACGGCGAATTAAATGAAGCTGATATGCCCAAAACCAAAATGCACAATTAGTGAGAATTTCATTTCACTCACGGAACAGTTAATTTTGCTCTGCACTAACCATGCACATGTGCCAACATGCAATATGTACCGGTATGCCTCAGAAGATTTGGTTTTTTTTTACATGGGAGCTGCTGCCTCTGTTGTTCCATACCTTCATGTTGCATTTAGAGCTCATTGGTGAGATCGGTAATTCTTTCTTGCATGTATTTCAATACGTTCTACAATCACACACATACATTAAAAATGTCTGTCACCGTGTATCTGAAAGTATTCTACGGAGGAAATAGTGCTCTGGCCTGGTTCTATTAGCTGAAAAATAAGGTTGACGTTTGCTTAGCTACAATGAACATCTTCTGTGTAGCAGCTCTATGAGGTTGTTTTTCGTCACTCTTTACAGCACAAGTGTAGACCTTCTACGCTTACCCAAGTCCAACACCCCACCCTATACTGACCCTGTGTACCACATGCATATTATACAATTAATATGGCCAATCGTCTTGTTTGCGATATCAATCACTTGTCAACTTGTCAACCAACTTGATTATTTTATTCTTGGATCGAAATGATTACAGGCCCAAATTGTTTACACGTCTGTTCTAGTCCACCATAATGGATGCACACAGCTGGTTGATAATTGGAGATTTAAGATTGGAAAGGCTTTGACCCTGAGCTTTGTTTTATTGAAGTTAACGATGGTGTCTACGCTATAAGGAAGTTAAGCTCAAAGGATCATATTTGTGTTTGAAAATAACAGACTGTCAAATACATGTATTTCATATTTTGTATTGTCACACATGCACTGTTGTACCTTTTTCCCTTGAACCATGTATAATTATATGTAATTAACTTTCATATTGGAAGTCATGGGAAAGTCATATTTCAAAGCCCATTTAATGAACTGATCTCATACATTCACAACTCTTCTTTGAAACATGGACATAAATTTATGAAGTAATGTTAAACTTGATTGTCAATATATTTATTCAGAATCAACAGAGGGCAGCATTTATATTCTATCGTTGATATTCAACTTTGTCTCTGGTTTTGGGAAGGCAAAATGTATCATCGGATGCCAAAAGAGGGCAGCATTTACTTTTTTGCACAGTTTTCCCATGATGTTTTTCGACCCCATTTATTTCCTTTTGATTATGGCCGGGTCTCAATTTTATGGAGCTGAATAGCCTACAATTTTGCCCAGAAGAAGTTCGTAGTTTCTAAGCAAAACTTGTCTACATTACTCAGCATGCAGATGAGTAAAATAAAAACCTGTTTTCAATATTTCAGTTTCCAAAACAATCTAATGGAATTTTTTTGTGTGTTCTCTCCAATTTTACCCAGGAACAAAAAAAATGATGTAAATAGCTTAAGCAGACAAAGGACTGAGTTGGAGGAATCTGGGAACTGGAAGCAAGACGGTAGCAGTTGTTTTACAGTGCCTTCATTAGTCTTGTGGGGATTCATAAGGCCAAGTAAACAAATAATAGGTTCTCATCTGGGGCCGATTTCACGGCGCTGCTAAGCACAAAAATTTGCTGAGCACAAACAAAAATCTGGCTTATAAAAGCAGGTTACCAGCCAAAACTCCATGTGATGTATATTACTCGTGATTAGTATTCAGCTGTTGTTTGCTTAGCATGAAAATCACTTGGAGTTTTGGCTGGTAACCCGCTTTTATAAGCCAGACTTTTTGTGCTAAGCAAATTTTTGTGCTTAGCGGCACCGTGAATAAGCCATTTGCGAGTAACCTATACCCTTTGGGATTTACATTTGAAAAACGTCTGGTACAATGACTTGCTCAGAATGCTTGGCACATTTTAACTGTGAATTCTCCAGACCAAAGACACTGTTGCTAATCACATGATTCGGGGCAAGCTCTTGCATAGTTACGTAAGAGACGCTCAGCACCAATACATCGTTCACAATGGGTGAGAATGGCACAAAGACACCAGACCATGCCGGAGCTGGGGGTTGCTAGCATAAGGCTTGCCCCGAATCACGTGATATAGTAACAGTCTCTTTGGTCGGGAGAATGCTAGGTTAAAACGTGCAAAGCATTGTATTAAGTCAGCGTTCCAGATTTTATTCAAATTTAACACGCAAATGGCTTATTGGGCCTGGGATTTTTCGAACAAAAAGAAGGATGAGACCCTTCCCCCCCCCCCCCCCAAAGATTGCGGATTTTCCAAGTTAGGGCCCATCCACAAAGTACGTACACACGAAAGGGGGAGGGAGGGGTTGTTAACGTTGGGTACACCATGCGTACAGGAGGGAGTGCCAAGCCAATCCCTACATATGCAGAGCGATAATTTGGTTTCAATAAAGTGTCATGAAATCAATGCATTTTCTCATATTTAATACCTACTAGGACCAGCTTTTATGCACTGCAAATCATTATAACACTGTACCCTTCACCCCCACCATGTACATTTATCTTCCGAGTGCCACTGCCAGAGGTTTTTCTGGCCACATTTTGTCATTTATTTCAGACTTTGAATGCGAATCATATTACAGCGTGTTTTCTGCGACATTAAATGATGCCAGAATAAGGTAGTCTGAAAGAGTAAAAAAGAAATATTGAATGCATATGCGCATGGGTATGGGGGGGGGGAGGGGAGGCACGAGGGGGTCTACAAAATTAGCATTTCGGCGTCCGTACCTTATGGACGGCTTAGTTCTTCTTGATTCTTCCTCTTTCTCAACTCTTTTGCCGATACGTTTGTGTCCAAAGGAGCCGTAGCCCTTTCTACCCGATTTTGAACGTGCATAAATGGCTACAATTTGGCCGGAACAATTAAAAAAGGTAAAATATATTGCAAGTGTATGATTTAAACAAATTAAAAGTGAAACAAAAGGAAGTGGGTGGAGACCAGAAACTGGTTTATTTTTTTTACTTGGCCTAAAAGACGAAAGTGCAGTGAGAGTTAAAAATACCCAGTCATTTTCAACCCCAAAACTATTCAGCGAGAATAAGGCCCCCCCCAAAAAAAGTCTCCGGTTTCTGGTATGGAGCTTGCCCAAAAAGTGGTGCGGCGACGCGGCTTTTTTTTTTTTTTTACCTGACTTTTTTGCTTCAAATGCCGTGTGATGACTGCAAATGGTGCCCGACTAAACTTAGTACAAACAGGCCTATATGGGATTGGGAGTCCAGGGAGGCCACATAAAGCTTATTCTCGACCATAACTCCATCTAAAAACACGTTAAAATTGTGCAGCAGCAGGATTCCAGTCAAACCAGTGAGTTTGGCGGTTTTGGGACATCATCTTTCATTGAAAAAAAAACTTTTTCATTTTGCCGACGCGCATGGCTACAGCGACGCGCGCGCATACCAGAAACCGGAGACTTTTTTTTTTTGGCCTAATCATTTCCTTTTTTTTCTTCAAAGAAGTGGCTTCAGCCACTTTTGCATAGGCGCATG